AACACACGGGAGGGGTACACTGAGCCAGGGACACGTTCAGCTTTTAAGAACCATAGTGGCACGCAGAGGGCTCCAGAGAGGAGCAACTTCTGGCTGGAGAAGTAGGATTTTTCTCCTTGGGGCTTTAGGATGCACCCTTGGAAAAACTAGGAACGGAGCAAGCCACTCGAAATTAGCACTGCAAAGGAAATGACTTCAGCATGCTTGGCATTTACAGGAGAACATCCAAGGCCACCTAAATGAACCATCAGTGAGCTTGTCCACAGGTGTTCAGTTCTTGTCATTACGGCAGGAAGCCTTTTCCAGAATAACTGTCTAGAGCCACAACTACCTCTAAGAAGTCCTAGCAAGGGATTTCACTTTTCTTCTCCAAATGCTTGCACACAGCAGGGAAAGCAAAAACCCTAGTGAACCAGGTTCCATTTTAATTTTCTGACGTCCAGAGAGGGAAAAAATAATATTGCCCACTCTGCTTTCATTACAGAGAATATGTTGAATTTTTTTTTCTCTCTGAGGAAATGGAAAGAGGTTGACAGTGCTTTTGTACAAAAATGTCAGCAGTCCCGAACACAGCAGAATGATGATTTAGGCATTAAAGACAATCATATTATTCCATGATTCATCCTTTTTTTTTCCATGAAAAAAACCCATGGCAAAGATTCATTTGCCTACAAATGGCATAGCTTCTTCACACAAAAAAGAAAATGCTCAGGTTGGGACGATGTTACAGTGAATATAGACAACAGCAAGAGAGAAAATCTTGTTTAGAAGTGCACTTAAGCATCATTTTACTTCCAAAGGCAGACACATCTTTATCCATCACAACAACCCAGATCACATCAAGGTGAATTTCCAGTAGGATGCTATGGCTAACAGAACAAGTAATGAATACTTGATGTGCCCTTTAAATATCTTAGTTTCATCTCTTGAAAAGAATTATCCTTGCACAGACCAATGAATCTTGCATAGAAATTCATTGCTCTGACCTGCTTCCTTAATTCCCAGTTTAAAAAGAGTCCAAATAATTTTGATCTCAGCATGTTTTCCCATCCAATCTCCAGAATGAAAAAGGTAACCTACTATTTTTCAGGTATTGTTAAACCTGCTTTGAGGCAGAAGGATGGATTAGCTGATCAGAGTCTCTTCAAGATCCTTTCTTTTTTTATTACTTTATCTTCAAACCTGGTTTTGCTAGCATCAGTTACCACAAAAGTTTTCTCTCCTACATACTTAGGTTTATATTCACTGAAGTAGCAGACTTCTAAGACTATTCAGGAGTAAAACATCCCTTAGTATTGTGTGAGTTCAGGCTCTCTCTCTCTTCTTTGCAGAAGATAACCTTATGAGCTTTTTCCAGAAGGATCCTTACATGATCCTGTCCGCAAGACACTGATCCTGTGATGGAACTAGGAGGCCCAATGGAGAGAACAGAAACTGGTGGAGGGGCACGGTGGTACAATCTGCAGAACAGGCCTTCACTGAACACAGTCTACCCTGACCAAGTCATTACTTTGAAGAAACATTATCTTTGCTGTATTACCTTTGAAAGTGACCTGGTCTTGAGGGTGGGGACAAGCAGCAAATCTGGACTCAGATTTGCCTGAAGCCCAGCTTCAGGCCTGCTATGGCACATAAATATAGATCTGATCCTGAGTACTTGTGTGAGTTTGTCACCGCAGGAGCTGAATATTTTTCAACACAGCTGTACAAGTGGGAAATATGCTATAATTGACTATCACAAGCAAAGGGCTGTGACCCAAATAGTCTAAAGGGGTGTCCACAGAGCAGATAAGGGACCAAAGCAGGTTAGCTATGCTGGCATGACACACTTGCCAGTATGACTGAATTGTTGCAATAACTACCTGGTGTTCTTTACCTCACTGAGGCGTACCTGGGCAGACATACATATCCTCAGGGCACACTTAAAAGGCACGTAGGGTCTTATCAACAGCAGATAATTACTGGTTTGCTTCATCACAAGATAGCCTACAAGGACACACAGCCTATAACTTTTAATGGTGGCCATAGGACCACAGAAATCATACCTACTCTGTAAAAGTAAACCTTTACAAATAGTAGATTAAAATTAAAACATATAATTCTATTGTCTGAGCGCACACCAAAATATTTCAGGAAGAAGCAAGAATTTAAAACCACACCAATGAAGTGAATAAGTGAAAGGACAAAAGAAAAGATGCTATTAGAATGACACACGTGGCTATAGAATCCAAGGCATTTGTAGCGTCTTTAAAGAATCTCTTTGAAGAGAAGAAAGCAGATGTGTAACAGATTCTAAAGTGAGAATAAAAAGCTCCTGCAAAACTTATGTCTTAGTTACGTAATTTGCATTACCGTGCATTTACAGAAGTTCTCTCTCGACATGTCAAAGAACTAGCCTTTTAGTGGCAAAGTCTTTCCTCAGTAGCACGAAGCAAACAAGCTTTCCCCTCACCCCACTTACTGAACCTTGTTCCCGGCTTTTAAGTCACAGGTGGCATAATTTGCTATCAGCTGCTACTGTGAATTCTAACAGATTATTATGTTGCCCACTGATGTCCTATGTTAAAACGGCTAATTAAACACACTGAAAAAAAGACAGGTGATACCTCTGGAGATCCACCAGAGCAGTATGATATCCTATTTCATCTGAACAAGCAAAGGGTGTCTCAGTTTCTTATCTTCCAACTAACACACGTTTTCAAGTGCAAAAGATGCTGCAGACTTATTACATGCCTGAAAAGAATTATCTTCTATTTCTAGTATGAATATGCGATGTATATGTTAATGAAATACTTTGATATTTATACATTCCATTTCTATATTTACATTAAAGGAAATTTTTTTAAAAGATTAATGGATGTGAGAAGAGCTACCATTATAAATGCATTTTTATGGTTTTTACCAATGAAATATTGATTCCAAGAGAAAATCCCAGATCTTTAACCTAAATATGCTTCCATTTATAGATGCAGTGCAGGCCTTCACTTTGCTTTGGTACCAAAGTTAAGCTCGGTAAAGTGCAAATGGAAATAATTGTGGGCAGCGTGAGGAAGGGGGAGTCTGAGTCCATTTCTAAAATGAGTTTATTTACAGACCTAAATACCCAACCTCATGACTTCACTCCTCTAATCATTTCTTCAGATTTACTATAATAAAAAGTACAAAACACACAAGCAATTTTTAATGACAGGTCCAGACCTAATGTCCCTAGTAATCTGTATGCTGTTGTGACTATCTGGGGGTCTTCAGTGCTACTTAAATATGCCCTATTCTGACCTGGAATTCCAACCCACTGATTGAAGACATGAAGAAATCCGAAAGACAGTAAGGAAGCCAGGGCACCACTTTTGTTCTGGATCTTGGGCAAAGAAGGAAAATGGTTTTCAAAGTAGATTCTGGCAGTCATTTGATGTGTTAAGTGATAAAAATTTAAGACACTTTTTATTGCCTAACCTCATTTAGTATTAAAGCATGAGCCATTCACTAGCACAAGTATTGGACTAGATGTCCTTACCGGTTCCTTCTAGTTTGCTTACAATGACTTCCCTAAAATAAGCAAAGTGACAAGCTTGCTAGGCGAACTGAAATGAGACTTGCGTACAAACAAGTTCAAGGCCTCTGACTCATGAATGATTAAGAATACTGAGGAAGCAGTGGAGAAAAACAACGAATCCATTTTCCCCAAAAGAAAGCAAAACTATGAAAGATGCTTCTGGTCTTGCAGCCACAACCAGATGGCTTTCTTATAAAAAGCTTGTGACAGCAGAGAGGTACTGAAAACCTGTGGATGAAACAACGTACCAAGGGTAATGATCCTCGCCTGCCTTTTTTGTACAACCCTTCTCAAATTAGCTCAAACTACTGCAGGGAACTTCTTCAGTCAAAATCTGTGTAACGTATTACCACAGCACAGGTGAAGCAAGGTACCAGTGGGTGAAGTTCATCAAAGGGTACCACTTGTTGCTGACTTTGATTCTGACACTCAAGTCTGCAGTGGCAAGACAAGAGGAAGTTACTATTGATTTGTTCTGACTGCTTTGGAAGTGCAACCGCTTTCTGCTTCTCTCATCTTTCACATCATTAATTATCTTGAAAGAGCGCACGGTGTACAGACAAGGCTTGTTACGGAGAAAACTGTATGACTGAACACAAGGTGACAGTACAAGAACATGACTACAGTACCACAGGATTAGCACAGGCAGATAATTTTGCCTTTAACAATGCCTCTGAAAGTATAGTCAGTAGTAAGCCTCTCTGACACACAGACCAGTTCTTTTCAGCTGTAAAAAGGAAAAGCAAGATTCGTAAACCTTTAGGCACTTGTCCATTCTTTTCATTGAATACATCCTTTTTCAAAATCCTGGATCACATTTTTTTTAACTTACAGTCTTGGGCAGGAAAAAGACAATTTTTCATCATCCTATCCCAATCCCCCAACACTCTGGCCAACACGCTCATCCACGCAGTCTCATGCAGATCCACCAATTTAAGTTCTAGTACCGCAGCAGGCTTTCACAACAGCGACACAACAGCTGCAGCAGAACACAGAGTAGCAAGGACAGACTCTAACAAATTCTAATTCCAATTCCAGCAAAAAGTATAATGGATGGTGCAGTTTAGTTGTCAAATTAGTTTAGCAGAAGCTTTCCAAAGAAAAATTCAGCCCTCTGCAGAAAACAAGGTCAGCGATTCAACACTCAATACATTTCCTCTTATTCAGTTCTAGCCAAAAGATTGACATGAAATGATAAAGAAAGGTTCCTTTCAGCCTCAGTGCCCATATTTCAGATGGATACATCTATCTAATGCAGTATCATATACCTAGGAGAACCAATACAACACCATGAGATTCTTTTGACATTTGATTCGACTTTTCTTTTTTTTGGTTTAAATTGGAAGGCTATAAAACTGTGTTTAAACACGGTATTTAAGGATGCTAGGTGTTCACTAGACTCTTATAGTCATAGGCTCAAAATACTCAAGACAGCCTCCCCTTTCACCTTCTGTCGCTGCTGAATGTTGCTCATCGTGTCTGGCTGAAACTCCAGTTTGTCTGTTCGACAGAGCTTCCAGTATAAAATAATAACGATGAGGAGCACCACGGCAACTGGGACTGCCACACCAACAATAATCCATAGGTTGCTATTCTGTGACTCTGAACCGGACTCCTTCAGCTTCTCCACAGCTGTGAAGTTAGAAGAAAGACAGTAATATTATGTGGTTATTTATTTTAAACTGAGGACACTTCAAGGTTATGTCTTTTTTATGTTCTTGTAAATGTTAGTTAAGGAGTTTATCAGAAACCAGCTGCACATTACAGAAAACATGATGCCACTTTTAAGTTAAGGTATGTCATGCTCAGGAAGCATGGGGCAGGCTATTGCCTATTCTGGCCTATCTTCTGAAGATCTGTGCTTGAAATGCCGATGAAAATACACTTCTGCCACATCATTCTGTAATCCAAAACCGCTGACAATGAAATGGGCCCAGAAAAATGACTTACCACTAACAGAGGTGAGAAGGGACTATCAGCTGCCCTCTTCTCTTTAGTTATATGTTACATATCTTGTTACCCTCTCCATCAATAATGACAGTCAACTTGAAATCAGTAAGACCCTACTCCCCAAGGTATAGTTCTGGTTTTTTATTATTTTTTTCCTTCCTTTGTTTCACTGTCAGCATGTGATATTCTTTAGCACCAAACAAAAGATGAAACTACTGGAAAGTGTAATGAAACCAATCCTGCTTTTAAAAAGTGAGCTGGAAGAATTGACAAAGTTTTCCTTTGCTTTGATTTGCAGAGTGGTTATATGTGGCACTAAAAATCACAGCAGTAATACAGTTCTAGTAAAATGAGTGTACTTTCTTAAAATGAAGTTTTCAAGTCAAAAAGAATATTTTTATGCAATCTTATTTTTACATGGTTTTAGTAGAGCTATTCTAATGATGAAGGTAGAGATTAAATGTACATATAAGTCTTATATTTTATAAATCTGATAGCTCATTTATGACATTTTCTGTTACAAAAAGAACTTTTTTCTGATATCATTTCTTCCAATAAAAAGAAACATTCAAAAAATTCTATTATTTTATGCCTCTTAAAAGAACTTTCTAATAACTTGTCAGCAATAACAGGGTTCAAGGAATAAGCTATAAATGCTTTATGAAGTTTGTTCAAACATCTACCATTTTTGTAGAGCAAATTTATTCTTGCAACATTTTGCATTTCTGTCTAACCCATATTACAGCACATTAACAGATATTAAGTAGATGATACTGACCTATCTTTAAACAACTGTTTCAATGAGGGACAAAATTTAGATATACATCCAGATGGTGCAATTATTATTATTTTCTTTCTTTTCCTTCTGCAGAGAATTTTAAAAATCAGACACATGCTCGTTCTATTGGCAAAATACCCTGTGGTACAATGTAACTCATGCCTCCATACTGCACAGAAAGCAGAAAAGATAATCAAGCATTCGTAACAATGAGGCATTTTACAGATCATATACTTTCCAGTTTCTTTCCTAATCATAACATGGAATTTTGTGTAAGTCTCCTCTCTTGCTCCTTACTGCAAATTATTTATATACCAAGCTTCCTGAATAAAGTTATTATATGACTTTATATGATCTGTCATATTTATTATGAAGTGTATCTTGTAAAAGATTACATTACTTTTATATTATCTTTATTATAAGATTACGTTACTTGTATATTACACAGGAAAAAATGAATAAAACTAAAGTCAATCATATTCAAGGGAAGAAATGAACTGTTTCCTTTTGCTTATACCCTTAGCATTAAGCTACATGTTTCACCCACAGAAACACCAGACCAAAAGAACCAGTGACTTGTGTTAAACTTCACTGCTATTACACAGCTAACGGAAACACCCATTTCACATTGACGCCCTCCCACCCCCATCGTGGGTTTTGTGCAAGCTCCTGATCAAGATAGGCTGTAAAGAAATACTGAGCTAACAGAAAGAGATGAAAATGACAGAGAGTATCTAAGTTAGCACAGTATTTTTCAAGCACAAGCACTAAAGTGAGTGCACTGAGGCTGATGCAATTAAGGACGCTGATGCAATTCCAAACTCAGAAGAGTCTTCAAAAAGCAAGAGTTCACTGCAAGATAGCTAAAATGTATTTCCTCAGGAGTGTCAGAATTGCAGCATCCCAAGAACAAAACACTGCAACAGCGGGCACCATGCAGTGCCATAATTTTCAATGCAACTTGCACCCTTTGTGTTTCTCTCTGCTTGGCACCCGTGTGGATTTGATAGGGCTTACGCTGTGCAACGGTGCCTTCAATGCGGTATCCAAGGATGATTGCAGCCCGCTGGATATCAACTCTGTTCATCAGGTCTGAGCACTTCAGAGCACTGAGTCTCTCTCCATCTTGGTCCTCCACAAAATAGATCAGCTCCACAGGGTTATCAGCACCAACTAACCGTGACACGTTCACAATCTGAAAGGAAATTGGAAAGCTTTTACATTTTAAGTTGTATTTATTTGAAGTCCCCATACATTTGGTCTTTTGAGTCCTTACCCTCTCTCCCCCTTCCCTTTCCAGGGCCTAGGCCTTAAGGACACTTATCTAAAAAGAAACATTCGGAACAGCTTTGTCAAGATGGCATCAGTATGTCTTAATAGTCATCGTGTGCAACCCATAGTACATAAAAAAGATTCCATTTTGCATTATGGTGTAAAAATACAACTGCTGTTAAAGAAAAACCCTCTGACACTAAAGAACATGACATTATACTAATGATATGACTGCAGTAAACTAATACAGTTTGGAAACTGTCAGTATCCAGAGAAGCCTGAGGGGAAGTCGTGCCATGTGTAGCGCTCCAAAATACCGCATGCAGCAAAGGCAACATATACAGAGCTAATATTCAGTAACAACAATTTGCTTCCAAACTAAAACTCAGCATATTTTCTCCTAATACTTATACAAAAGATTCTGAGGAGAAATCTTCCAGGGGAAGACAACACTGCAAGAATAATATATCAGCGTCTAATAGCACAAGCATTACTCAAGTGTTCCAGGACCCTGGGAAATTTACAGAAATACCCATTTTGTCGATGAAAGGAAAATTTCCAGGAAAGCAATCCTTCGTATAATATATTTTTGCAGCAAACCTGAAGTTTCCTGTTTTTTTTTTCCTATTTGTTTCAGATCCAGTATTGAAGGAAAAGAATTGCTTTCACTCTAAGGAGCCAACACCATGCCACCCTGGAAGTTTCTACTGCCTTTAGCATTTGTCAGTTAGTAGGAGCTACTGAAGAGATTAGGGTGATTTCACTTTCCCTTCTCTAAATACCTACTTTGACTTTGCTTTGTTAATCGTAACACATATCTCTTTGTTCCAAATTTTCCAAATGTTAAGTGGCTACACAGGCAAATATTCTATTAGCTGCAAATGGATCTGTTTGCTTTTTCTCAGTGAAAGGAGCTGCACAGTCACCTTCATCCTCTAAACAGCTCTCCACCTTTCTTCAGGAAGGAATGCATTTAATGCTGTGGGAAGCAATTCTTCCTACCTACTTCTAAAGACATTAATAATCAAAAGAATGCATGCTATGAGGAAGTCCTGTAGATACTCTCCAACTAAAACACATCTACATTGCATATGAGAATCAGGTAACAATTTCAAATTCCTGTAAAATTAAATCTTATATATAATAATAACTCTCCTCTGTTTAACCATTTACATATAATGTTGAGCTCAATCAAAAATTAGGCCAAACAAGTAACAGAAGGTATTCCATAATTTAAAACAGAGTTTGAAGAGCTGTGGAGTGAACTGTCACAAATAGAGTAGTATGTTTCCTTCAGAATTATCCTTTATTATGAAGTACATATTTAATAAATTTGAATCTCTAACATTGCACACAGGCTTATAGTAAAGCAAACACACAAATGTTTGAATGTCTGAAGCTTACAAAAGCAAAGCTCTATATTGTTTTCTTTCCTGGTTTCCAACAAAACAATCATGCTGAAGGAAAGCAGTACAATGTTCTAGCTCAAGAGGGATGATGTTCTGGTCTTTGGGGACAACAACTCAATATATCCTAAGAAAGCATTTCCCAGCAGTGTTAACAGCAAGGTAGATTTTAAAAAAAAAAAAAAAAAAAAAAAAAAAAAGGAAAAAGAGAAACAATTGTCCTGAAAGTCTCCTAGACCAAATCAACTGAACGCAAAGAATCATGTTGAACATGAGTCACATTTGATGTAAGAAACAGAATACCTACTAGAGCAGAAAAATGTGCAAATTTCTGAACTACAACAAGACTTGTTAACAGGACCTATTAGCCAATGCTGTTTCTGATCCTGAATGCTATTCATGCTTCCACCAGCCAAAGGGTAACCAATCCCTGACTGAAGGTAACAGAAGAGTATCAGTAAATAAGGTTTCGGCACACATATTCAGCAGCTGTAAAGCTGAATCTGGTTTCACAGAACCCAGATATATCACTAGTTAACAAATGTCTACAGCTTCATATTTCTGCTTCAGCTGGACTGCCTTCACCCCAGGCTGGCCTCCGTGCATGGAGCAGTAGGGTGTAGGTATGGATTGGTATCTGCTTTCAGCCCAGATGACCCCTTCCCAAATAGCACTTAACTCGCATGGAGAGTGAGAGAGTTGAAAGGCCACGTGGGAACGGGTATCGATGGGTTCTTCATTTAATTTTGTTATACCTCTCTGTATACACAAAGCATATACACAAATACAGCAAGGCTACAGAATCAGAGAAATTTAGAAGATTCTTGAATTGTCATACATTTTATAGGGTTGTGGAGTATCCAGGAAGAACTGTAATTATATGTTTGTTATCCACACAGGGCAACAGTCAGAAGATGACTGAATGGGTAAAAAAACCCCAACTTTTCCACAGTTGCTTTCAGAAAGATTAAAGAGGAAAGAGGACAGATTCCAGGGCAAGTTACCATAACTAAAACAATACCATGTTAAACATAGAATTAAAATTAACAGTGTATGGCTCCCTTTGCTGAGGAACAGGGATGGCTGAGAGCAGTCAGAGTGAAGGTAGGAAGAGGCAGCTGGAGGTATTTCAGCACAGTATAGAGTGCATGAAGAAATTCAGTTGAAGGTGGAGATGCAGGCTAGTGTTGCTGAACCAAGCTCACTATTTCAAATAAGTTTTATCTGAAATAATCCATTCTGAATACACAGCATTTTATGACGGTTTGCCGCACGCTGAGGAAGGCTGCAGACAAAATTTGAAATCCAAGGGGAGATGGTTATAGGTTTCTATTCTGGGAAAGCTGATGGCTGAGCAGGACATTGAAGGTGACTACAAGATAACTACACTTATACATAAACAGAGCAACTATGACAATAGCAGTACTTCAGTTTTCATCTCTGTCACACTGATTCACTAAATTTTCTTTTTTTTTTTTTTTAAACTAACCTCTGAGCTTGCCGCAACACAGAAAATGGCACACTAGATCTGAATTATTTTAAAGGTCGTTTATAAAATTGAGGTACACAGGCACTGTGCCCATTTTTTACATAGTTTCTGTACACTAAGTTTTGTGCCATTCTGCTCCAAATTATACTCTGTGCAGCTGCAACTTGTTTTGGCTCAAATTTTACAGAGGTCTCTCTATCCTTGAGAGTGCTAAGTATGCAAGCAGAGGCAGAAATGGTATTTCCTAGACATCCACCAAAGCAGCCCATATGTAAAGAAGCATTTAAGCATTTTGTGTTTATACTTTGGCAGTGAGGGATGACATAGGGAGGGACGAGATACAAGAATTTCAATACGTGGGAGGGAGGAAACGAAAAAGAAAAAACACAAAACTAATTCAGCTTCTGTGTACATAAATGATACCATCTTTGTTGATACTAGATGTGCACTTAACCTCCACAGAGCAACGGCTTAACTGCGTTCAGGTGTCAGCAAATTTAATTTAAAAAGTGTTTTCAAGAGAATATCATAGGTCAGCGAACAGAGTTGCCTTGGTAACCAAATCTTGTTCATAATTTAAAGTGTAGAAATCCAGGTGGTGGGCAAGCTCGCAAGGAGTTTGCGGAGTGTCAGTCAGCCAGCAACCCCATCAGGAGTAAGGAATCCCTGGGTGAATTGGTTCAGGGTTTAGAAGGCCTGAGTGTTACTCAGAAACAAGCAAACACAATCTCCAAAATGCATGTACGAGGATTATTTTCCTTTTTTTACCACATTCACGCCATATGGAAAAAATGCACAAAAAAGAAGGTGAAGGGTCTCGAGACCGAGTCTTATGACGAGTGGCTGAGGGAACTGGGGTTGTTTTAGCCTGGAGAAAAGGAGGCTGAGGGGAGACCTTATTGCCTTCTGAAAGAAGGCTGTAGCGAGGTGGGGGTCTGTCTCTTCTCCCAAGTAACAAGCAATAGGACAAGAGGAAATGGCCTCAAGTCGCACCAGGCGAGGTTTGAATTGGATATTAGAAAAAGTTTCTGCACCAAAAGGGTTGTTCAGCATTGGAACAGGCTGCCCAGGGCAGTGGTGGAGTCACTATCCCTGGAGGTATTTAAAAGATGTGCAGATGGGTGCTCAGGAACATGGTTTAGTGGTGGACCTGACAGTGTGAGGTTACCGGTTGGACTTGATGATCTTAATGGTCTTTTCCAACCCAAACAATTCTATGATTCTGCAAGATTCTGCTTCTTGCCTTATTAAGAATTTAGCATCGAGGCAATTAAATCAAGCTGTGCTATGTTCTAAACGGTTTAGTGGACAACGCAACGTGAAGTGTACGAGAAACAGAGACTGCATGTAACCTGTGCTGGGTCTGAGACAGCCCTTGCGGGAGCCTGCCAGGACAGTAGGTGGCTGTGCTGCTTGCCAGCAGCCACCTTCCT